CCGCGGCGGAATCATCTTCATCTTTGGAGAGTCAAGTTGCCGGCTTGACTTCTTTAGTTAAGGATTTTCTCTTAAATCCTAGAACCCAAGAGGTCAAGGTCTGCGGCATATGCACACAACAGGGGCATCCAACCGATTCTTGCCCAAATCTCCAAGAAGAGCAAATCAATGCCTTGGGTTTTCAATCTCATCAACAAAAGAGGTACGATCCACACTCTAACACTTACAACCTCGGGTGGAGAGATCACCCGAATTTGAGATATGGGAACCCTCAAACACAACATAATCAGCCCTTTCAATAATCCTTCCCAAATCACCAAGGCCAAACCTCAAGCTCAAATATGTCCACCGAAGACATGATCCGAGCACTTGCTACAAATATTTCAACGATGCAACAAAGTGTGGCTCAATTCCAAGAAACAACGAAATCTAGCATCCAAAACCTGGAAAATCAAATGAGCCAGATCTCAATTGCGGTGAGCCGACTTGAGGCAAAAGACTCGGGTAAACTCCCATCTCAAACGGAGCAAAACCCGAGACAACATGTTAATGCAATCATGTTGAGGGATGAGCCAACATTGAAAGAGGTGCATGAGGAAGAAAAACATTCTGAAAATGGGGTTGATCGTGGAGAAGATTTTCAACCAAATGAGGGGGAACCAACGAAAACTAAATCCCCTCCACTTTCATCATATGAGCCACTTCCTCCATTCCCCGAAGCACTGAAGGACACAAGAAAGCTGAAGAATGATCGGGACCTCTACGAGACCTTCGCCGATTCTGAGGTAAACATCCCACTCTTCAAATTGATCAAAAGTGTTCCCCGTTATGCAAAGTTTTTAAAAGAACTATGCACAATAAAAAGGAAAGATAAATTGAAGGCAAAACAAGAGGTAAAGGTTAGTGAACGTGTCTCAGCAATTTTCCAGAGGAAACTCCCGGAAAAATGCAATGACCCAGGCATGTTTACTATCCCATGCAAAATTGGGGACACTTTATTTCCTAGGGCCTTGTTGGATTTAGGGGCTTCAATCAATGTTATTCCATATTCATTATACAAGTTCCTAAAACTTGGCCCTATGCATGAAACCGGGGTGGTAATCCAATTGGCAGATAGGTCTTGCACATACCCAAAGGGTGTAGTAGAGGACGTGCTAGTACAAGTTGAAAATTTGGTCTTCCCTGTTGATTTCTATATTCTTGACATGGAAGCCGATAACCAAACTACACCCATCCTTTTGGGGAGACCTTTCTTAAAAACCGCCCAAACAAAAATAGACGTGTCTAATGGTTCATTAACATTGGAGTTTGATGACCAAAAGGTAGAATTCAACATCTTTGATTCTACGAAAAAACAATTTAAAGACCAATCTCTTTGTTCTCTAAATGTTTTTGAACCACAAACACCAAACGTTTTTGTTGGAAAACAAGCCAAGGAGACCTCACTTTTTAAGGAAAGAATTAAACAAGAAAAATCTATTTTGAAAGAAGAGGCACCTAAATATGAAAGTAAATCACTTGTGTTTGAGGTGATAACAAAGAAGAAATCTCGGCCTTACTGGAAAAGGCTGAAGAAAAAGAATGAAACAGGGGATATTCACGATCCCACATAAAAACAATAAAAAAATAATAATAATGTCGTGCCGCGACGTTAACTAAAGCGCTTCTTGGGAGGCAACCCATGCTTAGGTACGCATCTTTCATCTTTTCTTTTTAAAATTTTTGTTTTTGAATATCAACTTTGAGAGAATGGGGAAAATTCTCAAAAGAAAAATGAGGGAAAACCATGTTTTGAAAGCCTGGGAAAACCTCCGATCGGTCTTCATCACTTAACCGATCGGATCCGCACTAAAAAGAGGTTAAAACTGGACAAAAACACGTCCCAGGGTAGGGTACCCGATCGGGCACCATTGCTATACCCGATCGGGCACCATTGCTATACCCGATCGGGTACGTATGAAAAGGCAGGGCTTCGAGGAAACCCGATCGAGAAGTAAGAAAATTTTCAAGAGGGTACCCGAGCGGGTACCCATAAGGCCCGATCGGGTATATTACGGAAATTTAAAATTTTTTTCCTTCGAATTAAATTCCCCGATCGAGTACCCCCAAACTCGATCGGGTGAGAACCCCTGGAGCAGAAAAAAAAAACGACGTAATACCCGGTCGGGTATTCGAGTCACCCGGTCGGGTGAATTAATCTGGAAAGCTAAAAAATCCTTTGAATTAAATTACCCGATCGGGTATATCAAACCACCCGATCGGGTACTTGAGCTTTTTACCCCAAATCAGACCCAATTCAAGTCACTTCTTCCCCAAACCCCAATGTCCGATTTCTCTCTCCCAAACCCACCATTTTTTGACCCTTTTCCTTCCATATCTCCATCATCACTCAACCAAATTCCCTCAACCCACCACCAAACACTTCCCTCACTCTCCTCTCCACATCATACACACCAATTACACCATCTCTCCCCTCCCCAAAAATCCGAAACCCTACCCCAAAAACACCAAGTCCGAATTTCAAAGCGTCAAAAGGGCATCAATGGCACCGAAGAGGGATAGGGCCGAAAGTTCAAATGCAAGGGGACAATTCAAGGCTACGAGGATGTCTGTTTCATCCCGAGTATGACGGAGACGAGCACTAGGGACAGTGCTTCGAGCTAAGTGAGGGGGAGTCACTCATTGGTACGTACTTAAGTTTGATACCTTGTAACTAACATCATTTTCTTCAAAAAAAAAAAGGAAAAGAAAAGAAATGCTAGTTAGGTTGAAAACCCAAAAATGGGCAATCTAAGCAAAAATGGCTTTAAAAAAAATGAGTGAGTGGAAAGGATGGAAAATAAAAAGAGATGCTAGGATGAAGACCTGAAAAGGCTCCTAGGCAAAATGAGAGATATGAGAGAGATATTTGTTTTTATAGGACATCATTTAATCTCTTGAACATGAAAAGAGGAGAAGAAAAGAGATGAGCATAGAAGGCCATAAAACCCAAGAAGATATTGTTCGTTGAGCTAAACATTCAATGTAAAACTCATGTTTTATCCTTGGTGGTCTTTTGCTTTTTCTTGTTGATTGTTGAACTCTTGAGGACTTGGAACTGTTAAACATTTGACTTTACTCGAGGACGAGTAAAGAAGCTAAGTGTGGGGGAGTTGACATTCATGTAATTTCCATGTGTAAATTTGTGTTTTTAATTAGTTTAGAGTGAGTGTTACTTCGGAAATTACACACTTTTGGTGTAATAGTTTAGTTTGTAAAATATTTGTAATATGTTTAGATTAGGTTTATTCTGAGCTCAAACAGGTCCAAGAACACTTTGGGGACCATTGGTGAACACCACAAGTGGAAGGAAAGTGCAAAAATGCAAGACAAAAAGTGGAGATTTCGTTTTTGGTCTGTACCCGGTCGGGTATGACCTATACCCGATCGGGTACCCTTCTAAAAAATCAAATCGGATCAACCCGGGAACCGAGCAACATGCGGGAAAGATTTTGGCCATGTTCGATTGTCATACCCGATCGGGTGACCGACAGACCCGATCGGGTATGACCCTATTTTTCAGTTTCTGGGCAATTTCCTAAGATACCCGATCGGGTATCCTATATACCCGATCGGGTACACAGCCCTGCAGCTCCCAAAAGCCTATAAATACACCCCATTTCCTTCCCATAAAATCACCAATTCACATATACTTCTAAGCTCAGTTTAGACAAGTTCTTTCTTTATATTTTTATCATGTTTAGTCTCCAAATGAGGAGCTAAACCCTTCCATCTTGGTTTTGCTACTTTGAAGCTTAATGAATTTGTAAGTTGTGAGTTATTATCTTTAATCTTCTTCCTTGAATATTAATTCTTTCTTTAAATACTATTTCTATATCAATGTTGGGGAGTGTTACTAAGATGACAATTAGTTAACATCTTGACATTAGTTATAGTAATAGTTATTTCTTCCTCTACGTTAATATCGGGGAGTGTTACTAAGATGACAATTAGTTAACATCTTGATATTAACTATAGTAGGATTCATCTTCTTTAATATTCTTCCTTGAGTATTAATTAATTCCTATTCATATTTCATATTAATATTTTGAACATTACTTAAAGGATCAACTAGTTTTGTTTCATATATTAATTATTACTAGAATTGGTCGATTAATACGCTTGTTATTAATTCGGTCCTTTCGCGGTAGTAAACTTGGGTTATTAATGCATGCGTTTCATGGTTAATAAACCAAGGGGAATTAATTATATTGATTAAACCAATAAACCGCTTGTGTTGAGGTTATCAATCTCAATCGTTTTCATCTTGATTTTATTGCTACTATCGAGTGAATATACGGCGCGTGTTCTATATTAACTCGGTAGTAAGTTTTATTAATGAACGCGTCTCGTTATTAATAACTACCCTCGATGAATTGGATATACTCCTCGATTGAGTATTCGAGAGGAAGATAGTTAAAGATATAACCGGGATCGACGAACATTTCATTAAGTGGATAAAAGCAAAGCCAAGTCTTCGTCTCATTAATTAAACCACATAACTCGTTCATCTTCGTATTTAAATATAATTGAAAGTTCATCAACCAAATATAAACCCCCCTTATTGTTACTTATCTATTTCTGTAAGAAGAAAAGTATTTCTTTCCCTGTGGATACGAACCTTACTACACTATACTACGTATTAGTGTCGTATTGTATTATTACTTTGAGTGCACCTCACGACAAAGTGCACGTCAATTATTAAGGAAATAAATTGAGTTTACTGTAGAAAACACTGTTTAGACACTGTTTGGCACTGTTTGGACACTGTTTGGCACTGTTTGGATGTAGATTTCTTTGCCAAATAAGGAAATAAGGGAAGTGTGACTTTTATTTTGGCACATCCAAAAAAGGAAAGTGTGAGGTTCTTTTAGAAAAACTTAAGACCATAAATGGATGAAGTAAAACATATAGGAGTATAATAAATAAATAAGTTGAGGGGGAAGTGAAGAAGAGTGCACCTATGAAATCAGTAAGAACGCGGCCGTCGGAGAATCTGCCGGCAGGTCTACCGGGAAAAGTGGTGCCGTAAGGTTCCTTCCAACAGTCGTCGGTATCTGGGCTGTTGCCTGTATCAGCATAGGAATCTCCGAAAACGAACAGCTTTGTAGGGGATGATGATGATACCTCAATCTTCTCGCCATTGTACACTTCTGCAACTTTAGTTTATAATATCAGTAGCGGTGGGGGAAGAAGAGGTTACTTAATGATATTACAGAGTAGAATAGAGGAAGCAATGGAAGTAGTAATGCTGAGTGATTGATTCTCCGACCTGGAAGAAGAGTCAAAAGACATAAGAAGAAGGCTGAACTCAATCTTGCTTTCTTCTCCATCTGTAAATGTTGAGTGATTGATTCCCGGACATCATATTTATTAGGGGTGGTAAATCAGTTACATTTGATAAAAAAAAAATAAAAAAATAAAAAAATAAAAATAAATAAAAAAACTCAATCAAAATCGAATCATATGTAATTCAGTAATTGGGTTTGAGCGTGGTAGTATTAACAGCTCAAATCACTTCGAAATCGCAAAAAATCGAATAAAATTGAGCCGAACTAAAATACTCCATAAATTGTTAGGATGTTTTTACTTGGATTGTAATTTGCTGGTCTGGTCTGTTTTGGTCTGAACTGGTCTAGTTTGGTAATGTCTGATCTCTTTGTACTTTTATAACTGGTCAAGTCTGGTCTGGTCGGATTTGGTCTGGTATGGGACTAATTATAGTCAAAGTAAAAATATCCTTAATCAACAACATCAAGCCTTAATCACAAGAGAATTTGGGGACTCGATGAATTGTTAATCTTTTTGGTTTAAAAATTTACACTAAAGTATAATAATTAGATAGGTAATAATTAAGTAGTTTAAAAAAATTACTAGGTAGTTTTTTTTAACGAATAACTAGGTAGTTAGGAATTAGGTTGTACAAATTCAAAAGTTAGTAATTTTGAAGTACTTTACTAATTAATAAATTATGTATTTTTATAATTATAACTCGTAATATTAAAGTATTATATGGAGTACTTCGTAACTAGTACAAGTGTACAACAAATATTTGTAGTATTCCCTCTGTCCCTAAATTTACTTCCAGCTTTCCCTTTTCGTCCGTCCCAAAAAGAACTTCACTTTCCCTTTTTGACAAAGAATTTGTGGTTCACAACATTTCTCTCTCCTCTGCACAACTCTCCACCACACAATTCTCATTTTCTTAATCACCGTGCCACTTTAATTTGGAAGAACAATCAGGGACGGAGGGAGTAATTGTTATGAGCCAACATCAAAAGCCGGCACATTCATTCACATGTAACCACATGTATATACATATGGGCCACTGCATATGGGCCTATGAACTAATGGACATCTACATAATTACATAACACTCCCCCTTAGATGTACATTACTAAATGAAAATATTACAAAAAATAATTATTCTCTTTTTACGCTTGAAAATGCTGTCTCGTTAAAAATCTTGTCGAGGAAAACTCAGTGGGACAAAACCTTGGTCAAGTGAAAAAGAGCGCAGCGCGTATGTATTCCCCCTGTTGACTGCATGCATATATACTCCCCATGTTGACTGCATCACAACGAGACTTCTGTTCAATCTGGCTAAAAGCTCTTCATTGTATTGTGTGTATGCCACACTAAAAACCTTGTTGGAAAAAACCCCTTTGGGAAATAACCAATCAAGGAAAAGAGCGCATGATATATGTAAAATGATGTGTTGTATTGACTACCTCATTAAAAGCCTTTAACTAAGAAAACCACGTGGGAAAAACATAGTAAAGGAAAAGAGTACAGTCATTGGCCTTCGGGGCATAATCTTCTGGATTGCATTTGAATTTACTCTTCTAGAGAAAAATAAAAGTCCGAATTTTATGTATCATAATATGTTATTTTAAAGTCACAACTGTCTCATTAAAACCTTTGACCAAGAAAACCTTATGGGATAAAACTTGGTTAAGGAAAAAGAGTACAGTTGCATATGGTCTTCCGGACCAATAAATTGTTCGACCTCATAAGGACCAATCAAGACATTCAGGGTACTATCTTCCGAACTAATATTAGAATCACTCTTCTAGAGTATAATAGTCTTCCGGATGTTATGAATCTTTCTTGTTCTTTGAAAACCACAAAATACCTTAAAACCTTTGACCAAGAAAATCCTTAGGGAAAAACTTGGCTAAGAAAAAGAATAAAACCTACATGGTCTTCTGGACCAATTAATTGTTTCACCTCAATTAACTCCATATAATTTGAGCTGATGAAAATCTTTAGTATACAAAATCTCCATCATTATTTATACAGATTTGATGGACATCAGTAACCAAACTCTTCGAGAGTTTCTAAGAAAAAGCAATTGTTTAAACTCATGATTTTGCAATGTGTATTTCAAGACCATCAAATTTAGTGTTAATACTCATATGCACATCAAACATTTAATAATTGAGTATTCTCAAATGGTTGTCCATACAACTTAAATGAGACATGTTTTGATCCTCCTAGGATCTCAAATTCGTATACCAACACTTCAGGTGTTCACAATATAATGACTAGATATTTATAGATTATATAATCAAACACCCAAGGGCGGATCCAAGAATATGAGATGCCCTGGGATGAATAGGTATTATACTAGACTTAAATATTAGAGGGGTGAACTAAATGTGAAAAATGAAAAAAAAAATTACACTACAAAAATTTTCTAAGTAGCCCTGGGCTGCCTAACATAGCCCGCACATAGATCCTCCCATGCAAACACCATTCAAATCAAAAGATTCTCATGTGTTGTTTCTAGGGTTGGCTAGATGTTTAAAAGCCTCCAACACCTTTATTTATACAATTTGGTTCATAGGATAATATTTGTTTACTTCAGGTAAACAAATACAAGGTTTATGAGTAATTGCAGATTCATTGCATAATGTTTTCCTCATTCAACTCTTTCTGCAGGAAAGGTTGAGAAGTAGTACGAATATAGCTCACTTTAAATTCGTTTAAATTCTAGTCATTAAATCATGTGAAAACACATAAGAAAATTGTTCACATTAGATCCTCTACAGGAGGCACTCACTACAAGTGATATTTTGACATGGTGCAAATACCTTGTTCAATCATGATATTAAATAAAATAATTTGCAACATGATAATCAGGCATAGCTCTTCTACAAAATAAATCATGTCATACGACTTATTGTACTCACTCAGGTTGTAGTTAGGCACAAACATCCATTTTATATATTTCCAGATATGCTTAATATTTACTGCATTATTTATTATATTGTTGCATTTATTCAATCAAATTCAAATTCTTTTTCAAGAATAATTCCAAATAACACATAATGTCCTTATCTAATTATTGTAGACATAAAAGAATTCATATTCATGTTGAATGTTGTGTGCACATATTTCTTTTCACCATTGTCATTCAGGGACACACAATTAATATTATAACAATGACATCCAATTTTCTTATCAACTGCCACATTTTTAGAACTTTAAACTATAATAGGAATGTATTCTCACAATCATTCAATCTCAAGTATTGTCACCCACATACACAATATCTTGATTAATGGGACGTCAGGCCCAATATAAAATATTTCCTCATCCATAAACATTGATCATAATTCACAAAATTTTAGAACTACAGGTCCATCATATTTCGTCTGACCAGACTTTATTATTATGGATTATGAATCGATAGTCTAGGAAAAATAAATCATTGACATCTATATAATAACTATGATTCAAGTTTCATCCAAGTCCTTTGTATGAGCCATAAAAGAGGAACTCAAGTTCTGTATCATATAGTTTCTATAACTTATCAGCTGCGGCATTTAACTTGTATTATCCTCTTATAGAGGCATAAGTGACTTACAGTAATAAAAATCGGTTTTATTCTATATAAACATAATGACCGTTTATCCTCTCACATATATACATGTTTCAGGCAATATAACTGTAAAATAGGATTAATATATATCGGGCTTTATGCCACATGTATATACATGCTTCAGACATTATATTATCCTTTCTTAAGACAAAGACAATTTATCTATAAAATATTCATCAATCTAATGATCTCTTACTTTCATAAAATAATACGAATCACGCCTCTAGGGATGTGTAAATAGCATAAAAGTTGTCAAATAATCAAATTTGTTTAAGAACACTACTTAAAGACTTGTCTCGAACTATTCACTTGAGTGAATTTCTTAAAATTTACCTGGACATATAATAACATATTGTCCCCTTTGGTATAAACAGCTTGTGGATATTGTCCGTTTTGGTACTTCAGGACCTCACGGCTTTAAAATGCATCCACAAGTAAGGGTTTCAAGCCTCGCTTATAAACACAAACACTCTCGTGTGTGAGCAATGTGGTAACTTTAGGTTTTTCAACACACACTCTTGTACGTTAAATTTGTGCTCTTAGAGTGACTTCTGGCACTTTGTTATAATTTCATATTTCCATTAATGAAATCTTGTTTGTTTTATCCCCCTCTCGAGTAGATTAGCTTGATTAAATCGTTATACATAATTGCATTAATTTGTGATTGTTATTTAATTATGTGGATGTCCATTAACCTTAGGCCCATATGTATTGGCCCATGTCAAATGTAACCCTAGCTCCCCTCCCCTTGTATATATACACAACAATATGAGAATGAAGAGTATGCTTTTCGGCCTTGGTTTACAACACTTTATCAGCACGAGCTCTAGGCTTTCACAAAAAAAAAACCTCACTTTTTTTCACGACCCTGCGCATCACGAAGAAATTTGGAACGCAGGAATCGTGTCGTCATCTTCGAATTTCCTTGCAACTCAAATCTTTCGGATGATTAAAGGGTTGGGCGATCGAGTGGCAAAAGTCATAATGATGAAGGTAGACCGCCATTAATGGTGATTGAAGCTTCAAAAATATGAAAACGAGATCAGATGTCTGCACGAGCAACGAAATCAAAACAACATCAACCTTCGGCGATGACTAGGCGGTCCGCCAAATCGGCGATCTACGGCGAACAACACCTTCGATCCACCCTATGTCAAATACCCAAATTCCAAGTATTTTGATATAAAATTTGTGTTGATATTTTTGGGTAACCTCCGTATAGAAACCAAGTTCGAGATTAATTATGTTAATGTGATAAATTTGTGACTAGAAATTCAAGTTTGGTTACATGCATATATTCTGCTATATTTTTCAATTTTGAGGTTTACTATGCATGAATATACTCCGTATATATTTGCCCTGCCAAATACTTCGTATTTCACGTCTCTTAGTTTAAAAGTTTACCATAACCAGATTGAGTGTGCTATACTCCGTATTATTTTACTTTACATGAACAAGGAATCAAGGATATACT